CCCCACCCCCCCTCCCCAGCTCTGTGGGGACAGAGGGACAGGAGGGGACATCGGGGGTCCCCAGTGGGACATTCAGGGACATTGGGGGTCCCCAATGGGACATTCAGGGACATGGGGGGTCCCCAGTGGGACATTCAGGGACATGGGGGGTCCCCAGTGGGACATTCAGGGACAAGAGGGGACATGGGGGGTCCCCAGTGGGACAGGAGAGGATGTGGGGGGTCCCCAGTGGGACATTCAGGGACAGGAGGGGTCCCCAGGAGGACCAGTGGGAGGCCAGGGGGGACAGGAAGGGACACGCGGGTCCCTGAGGGGACAGTGGCAGGGACAGGAGGGGACACAGAGGGAGGAGAAGAACAGAGAAGCCTCGAGAACACCGAGGGGACACCCTGAGGGGACACCCTGAGGGGACACCCTGAGGGGACAGAGAAACACAGAAGGCATCTGGGGACAAGGGGACACCGAGGATCCCTCACAGGGGACAAACAGAGGGGACAGAGAATCCCCGAGGGGACACCGAGGGGACACCGAGGGGACAGGCCAGGACACACAGAGGAACAAACCAGAAGGGCACAGCGAGGGGACACCGAGGGACAGCGACAGCCCAGAACACACCGGGGGGACACAGCGGGGGGCACGGGGGGCGCGGGGACCCCGCGGCTCACCTGCGCACGAACTTGGAGGTGAACTTGCTGAAGAGGCTGGCCGAGGGGCCGCGCCGGCCCTGGCTGGCGCCCGAGGGCGAGGCGGGCGGGGGCAGCCCGGGGGGCAGAGCGTAGGGCAGGGGGTCCCGGGGGTCCCGGGGGGCGCGGAGCTGCCCGGCGTGGAAGGTGCTGCGGCTCGAGACCCCCCGAGGGAAGCTCGGCCGCTCGCCAGGGCCCTGGCTGACGTTGTGGGCCGAGGGGGACGCTGCTGGCACCCGGGGGGGCGCCCCGCTGCGGGGGGACACGGGGTTGGGGCCCCCCCCCCCCCCAAATCCAGGGTCTCCCCTCCCTCCCCAGCCTGCACTGACCGTGGAGGGGGAGGGGGTGCCCTTGGATCGCTCCAGGCCGGGCAGGGGGCTGGGGGGCACCTTGGCCGTGCTGCCGGCCCGGCGCCCCCCGCCCTCTTCCTCCCCTGCTCCTCCTCCTCCTCCTCCTCCTCCTCCCGCTCCTGCTCCTCCTCCCCGTTTGTTCTCCGCGTTGGCCGCCTGCGTTTTCTTGGAGTACGAGGCCGAGGTGGGGATGGAGAGCCCGGCTGCGGGGGGAGGGGGTGTCAGGGGTGGGGGTCTCACGGGACACCCCCCCTTCCCCTTCACCCCCTCCTCACTGGGGGTCCAGGTCACACAGCACAGCCCCCAAACCCCCCCGGGGGGGTCCTGAGGGATGCACCCACCCACAGCTCCAGTCCCCCCGTGTCCCCTCTGGGGTCTCCCCCCGTCCCCATTTGGGGTCTCCCCTCGGGGTCTCCCCCTGGTCGCTGACCCCCCATGTCCCCTTTGGGGTCCCACCCTGGTCACTGACCCCCCAATCCCCCCTGGGTGTCCCCGTACGGGGGTGGGGGACACCCCTGAGACCCCCTGGTGCCCAGGGACACCCCTGAGACCCCACTGAGACACAGGGGGGACACGGGGTTAGGGGGTACACGGGGGTGGGGGACACCCCTGAGACCCCCTGGTGCCCAGGGACACCCCTGAGACCCCACTGAGACACAGGGGGGACACGGGGTTAGGGGGTACACGGGGGTGGGGGACACCCCTGAGACCCCCTGGTGCCCAGGGACACCCCTGAGACCCCACTGAGACACAGGGGGGACACGGGGTTAGGGGGTACACGGGGGTGGGGGACACCCCTGAGACCCCCTGGTGCCCAGGGACACCCCTGAGACCCCACTGAGACACAGGGGGGACACGGGGTTAGGGGGTACACGGGGGTGGGGGACACCCCTGAGACCCCCTGGTGCCCAGGGACACCCCTGAGACCCCACTGAGACACAGGGGGGACACGGGGTTAGGGGGTACACGGGGGTGGGGGACACCCCTGAGACCCCCTGGTGCCCAGGGACACCCCTGAGACCCCACTGAGACACAGGGGGGACACGGGGTTAGGGGGTACACGGGGGTGGGGGACACCCCTGAGACCCCCTGGTGCCCAGGGACACCCCTGAGACCCCACTGAGACACAGGGGGGACACGGGGTTAGGGGGTACACGGGGGTGGGGGACACCCCTGAGACCCCCTGGTGCCCAGGGACACCCCTGAGACCCCACTGAGACACAGGGGGGACACGGGGTTAGGGGGTACACGGGGGTGGGGGACACCCCTGAGACCCCCTGGTGCCCAGGGACACCCCTGAGACCCCACTGAGACACAGGGGGGACACGGGGTTAGGGGGTACACGGGGGTGGGGGACACCCCTGAGACCCCCTGGTGCCCAGGGACACCCCTGAGACCCCACTGAGACACAGGGGGGACACGGGGTTAGGGGGTACACGGGGGTGGGGGACACCCCTGAGACCCCCTGGTGCCCAGGGACACCCCTGAGACCCCACTGAGACACAGGGGGGACACGGGGTTAGGGGGTACACGGGGGTGGGGGACACCCCTGAGACCCCCTGGTGCCCAGGGACACCCCTGAGACCCCACTGAGACACAGGGGGGACACGGGGTTAGGGGGTACACGGGGGTGGGGGACACCCCTGAGACCCCCTGGTGCCCAGGGACACCCCTGAGACCCCACTGAGACACAGGGGGGACACCCCTGAGACCCCACTGAGACACAGGGACACCCCTGAGACCCCCTGGTGTCCAGGGACACCCCTGAGACCCCACTGAGACACAGGGGGGACACGGGTTTAGGGGGGACACGGGGGTGGGGGACACCCCTGAGACCCCCTGGTGCCCAGGGACACCCCCTGAAGGGGGACACTGCTGCCCCCAGGGACACCCCTGAGACCCCCCTGGCACCCAGGGACCCCCCATGGGAAGCTGGGGTGGTCCCCAGCCCCCATGGAGTGCAGGAATGGGGGGGGCTGGGGGGATCACCCACCTCCCATCTCCATCCCAGCACCCTCGGGACCCCCCCCAAAATCCCCCCACGGAAGCTGGGGCGGTCCCCAGCCCCCACTGAGTGCAGGAATGTGGGGGTCACCCACCCCCCCATCTCCATCCCAGCAGCCTCGGGACCCCCCCAGACCCCCCCCCAGGGAAGCTGAGGGGTGCCCCCCGTGGGCAGCAGGCTCGGGGGGCGCGGGGCAGGGGTCCCCACCTGTCCTTGCCGTTCTGCAGGGAGCTCTGGCCCAGGCTGGCCCGGTCCAGCAGCGGCGAGTTGCGGCTGCGCGTGGTGCCCGTGGACAGCACGCTGTTCTGTGGGGGGGGGGACACCGAAACGGGGGGGCTGGGGGGGACACAGCTGTCCCCAAACCCCCCAGACAGCGGGCACGGCACCTGGGGACCCTCCATGGGCACCCAAAACAGCCCCAGAGTGACCCCAAGCCCAGCCTGGGGGACCCAGGGACGGCCACCCCCCATCCCCACCCCCAGCAGGTGTGACGTGTCCCCCCGGGGGTCTCACCCTGGTCGCTGACCCCCCGATCCCCCCCGTGTCCCCCCGTGTCCCCCCGGGGGTCTCACCCTGGTCGCTGACGCGCCGTTTGGGGTTGGCCGAGACGCTGCGCTGCACCTTGTGGGCGGGGGAGGGGCCCGAGCTGTTGGCCACCTCCGGGGCCACCCGCGGCTTCAGGGACAGGTTCTCCTCCAGCTGGGGACAGGGGACACGTGGGGACACGGCGGGACACGGGGGACACCCGCCGGGCAGGGGCAGGGACAGGCTGGCACGGGCGCAGCCGGGGACGGGGATGCCACCGCAGGGCACAGCTGGGGACAGGGACACGCTGGCACGGGCACAGCTGGGGACACGGGGACGTGCCACCACGGCACAGCTGGGGACAAGGGACACGCTGGCACGGGTACAGCTCCGGGGACGGGGATGCCACCGCAGGGCACAGCTGGGGACAGGGACGCGCTGGCACGGGCACAGCTGGGGATGGGGACGTGCCACCACGGCACAGCTGGGGACAAGGGACAGCCCCGCGGGGGGGCAGGGCATAGCGGGGTCCCCGGTGTGCCACCCCATCACCTCAGTGTCCCCAGCTCGTGTCCCTCCTTGTCCCCTCGGTCCCTTCGCGCTCCCGTGTCCCCGTGTCACCTCAGTGTCCCCATGTCCCCTCGCATCTCAATGATCTCACAACATCACAACGTGTCCTTGTCACCGTGTCCCCTCTTCATGCCAATGACCCCGGAGTCCCCCAGTGTCCCCTCTGTCCCCCAGTGTCCCTGCTGACCCCCCAGTGTCCCCAGGTGTCCCTAGCTGACCCCCCATGTCCCGCAGTGTCCCCAGTGTCCCTGCTGACCCCACTGTGTCCCCACTGTGTCCCCAATGCGTCCCCGCTGATCCCCAGTGTCCCTGCTGACCCCCCCCGTGTCCCCTGGTGTCCCCGGTGTCCCTGCTGACCCTCAGTGTCTCTACTGACACCCCTGGTGTCCCCGCTGACCCCCCGTGTCCCCACCTCAGAGCTCTTGTGGTCCCCAGTGTCCCCCATGTCCCTGCTGACCCCCCGTGTCCCCAATGTGTCCCCAGTGTGTCCCCAATGTGTCCCCACCTCGGAGCTCTTGTGGTCCCCAGTGTCCCCCACGGAGCTCTTGACCCCCCGTGTCCCCAATGTGTCCCCAGTGTGTCCCCAATGTGTCCCCACCTCGGAGCTCTTGTGGTCCAGCAGCAGGTAGGTGGCCATCACCTCGTTGTACTTCTGCCCCACCAGCGACTCCTGGATCTCCTCCCGCGTGTAGCCCATGGACACCATCAGCTCTGGGGGGACACGGCCCTCAGCAGGGGGACACGGGGTCACTTCAGGGGGTCCCTGTGTCCCCAGGGGTGGCCTGGGGTCCCACCTGTCCTGCGGGGGTCCTTGTAGTCAGGCACGGGCTCCATGTAGGGCTTGAGCTCGTCGTCCTCGTGGCCCACGTTCATCCAGCGGTCCTTCATGATTTGCTGGGGGCACACCGGGGGCCGGGGTCACCTCTGGGGACACTTTGGGGACACGAAAGGACCCCAGGGCTCCTCGGTGCGGAGCTGGGGGGCACGGGGGGGACCCCAGGGAGGGTCCCCAGGAGGTCCTGGGGTGCTCAGGAGGGTCTCAGAGGTTCCCAGAACCACGCTGGGGGTCCCACGATGATGTTGGGGGTCCCCAGAAGGTCCTGGGGGCCATTGGGGCTCATGTCAGGGGTCCCAGGATGAAGCTGGGGGTCCCCTCACCTCCAGGGTGCCCCTCTTGGTGGGGTTGAGGATGAGGAACTTCTTGAGGAGGTTCTCGCAATCCGTGGACATGTAAAAGGGGATCCGGTACTTCCCCCGCAGCACGCGCTCCCGCAGCTCCTGTGGGACCCCAAAAACCACCCATGGGACCCCAAAACCCCCCCATGGGACCCCAAAACCCCCCCATGGGACCCCAAAACCCCCCCATGGGACCCCAAAACCCCCCCATGGGACCCCAAAACCCCCCCATGGGACCCCAAAACCCCCCCATGGGACCCCAAAACCCCCCCATGGGACCCCAAAACCCCCCCATGGGACCCCAAAACCCCCCCATGGGACCCCAAAACCCCCCCATGGGACCCCAAAACCCCCCCATGGGACCCCAAAACCCCCCCATGGGACCCCAAAACCCCCCCATGGGACCCCAAAACCCCCCCATGGGACCCCAAAACCCCCCCATGGGACCCCAAAACCCCCCCATGGGACCCCAAAACCCCCCCATGGGACCCCAAAACCCCCCCATGGGACCCCAAAACCCCCCCATGGGACCCCAAAACCCCCCCATGGGACCCCAAAACCCCCCCATGGGACCCCAAAACCCCCCCATGGGACCCCAAAACCCCCCCATGGGACCCCAAAACCCCCCCATGGGACCCCAAAACCCCCCCATGGGACCCCAAAACCCCCCCATGGGACCCCAAAACCCCCCCATGGGACCCCAAAACCACCCAGCAACCACCCACGGACACCTCAAAACCACACATGGACACCCCAAAACCACCCATGGGCACCCCAGAAACACCCATGGTGACCTGGTGACCCCAAAACCACCCACGATGACCCTAAAATCACCCATGATGACCCCAAACCACCCACGGGCACCCAAAACCACCCATGGGACCCCAAAAACACCCAGGGGACCCCAAACCACCTGAGAGACCCCAAAACTACCTATGGTGACTCCCAAAACCACCCACGGTGACCACAAACCACCCACGGTGACCCCAAATCACCCATGGTGAGCCCAAACCACCCATGGGCACCCCAAACCACCCACGGTGACCCCCAAACCACCCACAGCGACCCCCAAACCACCCATGGTGACTCCAAACCACCCATGGTGACCCCCAAACCACCCATGGGCACCCCAACCCACCCACGGTGACCCCCAAACCTCCCATGGGCACCCCAGAAACAGCCCCGGTGACCCCCAAACCACCCACAGCGACCCCCAAACCACCCATGGGACACCAAAAACACCCAGGGGACCCAAAAAACGCCCCGAAACCACCCATGGGCACCCCAACCCACCCACGGTGACCCCCAAACCTCCCATGGGCACCCCAGAAACAGCCACGGTGACCCCCAAACCACCCATGGGACACCAAAAACACCCAGGGGACCCAAAAAACGCCCCGAAACCACCCATGGGCACCCCAAACCACCCACGGGGACCCCCCAACCCCCCCCGGTGACCCCAAAGCACCCACGGTGGCCCCCAAACCACCCACGGGGACCCCCCAACCCCCCCCGGTGACCCCAAAGCACCCACGGTGGCCCCCAAACCACCCACGGGGACCCCCCAACCCCCCCCGGTGACCCCAAAGCACCCACGGTGGCCCCCAAACCACCCACGGGGACCCCCCAACCCCCCCCGGTGACCCCAAAGCACCCACGGTGGCCCCCAAACCACCCACGGGGACCCCCCAACCCCCCCCGGTGACCCCAAAGCACCCACGGTGGCCCCCAAACCACCCACGGGGACCCCCCAACCCCCCCCGGTGACCCCAAAGCACCCACGGTGGCCCCCAAACCACCCACGGGGACCCCCCAACCCCCCCCGGTGACCCCAAAGCACCCACGGTGGCCCCCAAACCACCCACGGGGACCCCCCAACCCCCCCCGGTGACCCCAAAGCACCCACGGTGGCCCCCAAACCACCCACGGGGACCCCCCAACCCCCCCCGGTGACCCCAAAGCACCCACGGTGGCCCCCAAACCACCCACGGGGACCCCCCAACCCCCCCCGGTGACCCCAAAGCACCCACGGTGGCCCCCAAACCACCCACGGGGACCCCCCAACCCCCCCCGGTGACCCCAAAGCACCCACGGTGGCCCCCAAACCACCCACGGGGACCCCCCAACCCCCCCCGGTGACCCCAAAGCACCCACGGTGGCCCCCAAACCACCCATGGTGACCCCCAACCACCCATGGGCACCCCAAACCACCTACGGCGACCCCAAACCACCCATGGTGACCCCAAACCACCCATGGGCACCCCAAACCACCCACGGTGACCCCCAAACCACCCACGGTGACCCCCAAACCACCCACGGTGACCCCCCCAAGCGAGGCCACACCTTGAGGTTCTGGCCGTCGAAGGGCAGCGAGCCGCTGACCAGCGTGTAGAGGATGACCCCCAGGCTCCAGACGTCCACCTCGGGCCCGTCGTACTTCTTGCCCTGGAAGAGCTCGGGGGCGGCGTAGGGCGGCGAGCCGCAGAACGTGTCCAGCTTGTTCCCGAAGGTGAACTCGTTGCTGAAGCCGAAATCGGCGATTTTGATGTTCACGTCGGCGTCCAGCAGCAGGTTCTCGGCCTGGCCCGGGGAGGGAGAGCACCCCCGGGGGGGGTTATTGGGGTTTGGGGGGGCACGGGGGTGGGTCTGGGGTTCCCAGCACCTCCCCAGGGGTCGAGGGTCTTCCGGGAGACTCAGAGATATTGGGAGTTCTGGTCCGGGGGTCCCAGGGGTGGCTGGGTCCCCTGGGACCCCCCCCCAAGGGTGGGGGACACCCCCGGGGAGGGGTGGGGGTGCAGCTGAGGGGGTTTTGGGGGGTCTCACCTATGTTGGGGTGGTTCAGGACCTTCATTATTCGCACTTCCCGGAAGAGCTGTGAGGGACAGGGGAGGGGGGATTGTGGGGGGTGTCAGAGGGAACGACCCCCGTTTGTCACCCCAAAATCAGCTGTCACCCCCCCAGGGACACCCCTCACCTTCTGCAGGCTGGAGGAGTTGAGCTGTGTCTTGTCAATGATTTTCACGGCCACCTGCGAGGGGGAGAGCGGGGTCAGAGTGTCCCCAGGGCTGTCCCCAAAACCTGGTGGCACCCCTGAGGGGAGGGGCAGGGGGACAGGGCTGTCCCCACACCGTGGTGGCACTCCCAGACTCAGAGGGAAGGTGACACGACCGTCCCAGGGCTGTCCCCACACCGTGGTGGCACTCCCAGACTCAGAGGGAAGGTGACACGACCATCCCAGGGCTGTCCCCACACCGTGGTGGCACTCCCAGACTCAGAGGGAAGGTGACACGACCATCCCAGGGCTGTCCCCACACCGTGGTGGCACTCCCAGACTCAGAGGGAAGGTGACACGACCGTCCCAGGGCTGTCCCCACACCGTGGTGGCACTCCCAGACTCAGAGGGAAGGTGACACGACCATCCCAGTGCTGTCCCCAAGCCACGGTGGCACTCGTGGGATGAGGACCGAGAGCTTGGGACCATCCCTGTGCCGTGGTGGCACTCCCAGGGCACGGATCAGGACCCAGAATTGTCCCCAAGCCACGGTGGCACCCACAGGACAAGGACCAGGACCTAGAACCGTCCCCACACCATGGTGACAGTCACAGCTGAGGATCAGGAAACTCATTCCCATGCCAGGTGGCACTCCCAGGGCAGGGACCAGAAGCCAGAGCTGTCCCCACACCACGGTGCCACCCATGGGATGAGGACAACAGGCCTGTCCCCGTGGTGACAGCCACAGGACTGCACCAGGAGCCCAGAGCTGTCCCCACACTGCGGTGGCACTCACGGCTGGGGACAGGAAGCCCGTGCCTGGGCCATGGTGGCACTCCCAGGGCAAGGACCAGGAAGCAAAGCTGTCCCCGCACCGCGGTGGCACTGTGAGAACAGGGGCTGTCCCCACACTGTGGTGGCACTTCTGGGGCAAGCACCAGGACCCAGAACTGTCCCTGCACTGGGGTGACAACCACAGGATGCAGCCTGTCCCCGCACTGGGGTGACAACCACAAGACACAGTCTGTACCCGTGCCATGGTGACAACCACAGGACCCAGAACTGTCCCTGCACTGGGGTGACAACCACAAAACACAGTCTGTACCCGTGCCATGGTGACAACCACAGGACCCAGAACTGTTCCCGTGCCACGGTGTCACCCACGGGCTGATCCCATCCCCACACCCCAGTGTCACCCCCGGGCTGATCCTGTCCCCGCAGTGTCACCCCCGGGCTGATCCCATCCCCACACCCCAGTGTCACCCCCGGGCTGATCCTGTCCCCGCAGTGTCACCCCCAGGCTGACCCTGTCCCCGCAGTGTCACCCCCAGGCTGACCCTGTCCCTGCAGTGTCACCCCCGGGCTGATCCTCTCCCTACAGTGTCACCCCCGGGCTGACCCTGTCCCCGCAGTGTCACCCCCAGGCTGACCCTGTCCCCGCAGTGTCACCCCCAGGCTGACCCTGTCCCCGCAGTGTCACCCCCAGGCTGACCCTGTCCCTGCAGTGTCACCCCCGGGCTGATCCTCTCCCTACAGTGTCACCCCCGGGCTGACCCTGTCCCCGCAGTGTCACCCCCAGGCTGACCCTGTCCCCGCAGTGTCACCCCCAGGCTGACCCTGTCCCCGCAGTGTCACCCCCAGGCTGACCCTGTCCCCGCAGTGTCACCCCCAGGCTGACCCTGTCCCCGCAGTGTCACCCCCAGGCTGACCCTGTCCCCGCAGTGTCACCCCCAGGCTGACCCTGTCCCCGCAGTGTCACCCCCAGGCTGACCCTGTCCCCGCAGTGTCACCCCCAGGCTGACCCTGTCCCCGCAGTGTCACCCCCAGGCTGACCCTGTCCCCGCAGTGTCACCCCCAGGCTGACCCTGTCCCCGCAGTGTCACCCCCAGGCTGACCCTGTCCCCGCAGTGTCACCCCCAGGCTGACCCTGTCCCCGCAGTGTCACCCCCAGGCTGACCCTGTCCCCGCAGTGTCACCCCCAGGCTGACCCTGTCCCCGCAGTGTCACCCCCAGGCTGACCCTGTCCCCGCAGTGTCACCCCCAGGCTGACCCTGTCCCCGCAGTGTCACCCCCAGGCTGACCCTGTCCCCGCAGTGTCACCCCCAGGCTGACCCTGTCCCCGCAGTGTCACCCCCAGGCTGACCCTGTCCCCGCAGTGTCACCCCCAGGCTGACCCTGTCCCCGCAGTGTCACCCCCGGGCTGACCCTGTCCCCGCAGTGTCACCCCCAGGCTGATCCTGTCCCCGCAGTGTCACCCCCAGGCTGATCCTGTCCCCGCAGTGTCACCCCCAGGCTGACCCTGTCCCCGCAGTGTCACCCCCAGGCTGACCCTGTCCCCGCAGTGTCACCCCCAGGCTGATTCTCTCCCCGCAGTGTCACCCCCGGGCTGATTCTCTCCCTACAGTGTCACCCCCGGGCTGATCCTGTCTCTGCAGTGTCACCCCCGGGCTGACCCTGTCCCCGCAGTGTCACCCCCAGGCTGATTCTCTCCCTACAGTGTCACCCCCGGGCTGATCCTGTCTCTGCAGTGTCACCCCCGGGCTGACCCTGTCCCCGCAGTGTCACCCCCAGGCTGATTCTCTCCCTACAGTGTCACCCCCGGGCTGATCCTGTCCCTGCAGTGTCACCCCCGGGCTGACCCTGTCCCCGCAGTGTCACCCCCGGGCTGATTCTCTCCCTGCAGTGTCACCCCCGGGCTGACCCTGTCCCCGCAGTGTCACCCGCAGCCGGGGCCCCCCCGAGCGCTGTCCCCTCGCCAGGAAGGTGCCACTCACCTCCTTGCCGGTCAGGACGTGCCGGGCCAGCTTGACCTTGGCGAAGTTGCCCTTGCCGATGGTTTTGAGCAGCCGGTAGTTGCCGATGTGGGGCTGCTCCTCGGCGGCCGTGCCGGCGTTGCGGCCCCGCAGCATGCTGGCCTTGCCACCGCCCTTGCCCTCCACGGCGCCCGGCTGCGGGGACGGCGAGGGGACGCTCAGCCGGGGCCGGCCGCGTCCCCCCGGGGATCCCGGCGGGGTCCGCGGGCTCCGGGAGGAGCCGGGAGCGAAGTCCGGAGCGGCGGAGCCGCGCCCGGGCCCGGCCGGGAGCCGCCCCCGATACCTGACGCAAGCGCCGCGGTTTCGGGCTGGGCCGCCAGGGTGGGAAGGGGACAGCGCCGTGTCACCCCCTCCCCGGGAGGGGACACGGCCACTCCGCCCCGCTCCTCTACCGAAGATTCAGCGTCCGAATACCCCGGTTTTACCCCAAACCCAACCACCCGGACAGAGTTCACGGCCCAGCCAAAAGCGGGGGAGCCCCGCAGCACTACATCGGCACAAAGCCCCTCTTCCCGCACCCCAAAAGCCGCCCCGGGGCCCCCCCCGAAGGTCACCCGGGCCGCGGGGACACTTTCGGGGTGTTCCCTTACGGGGAGTGAGACGCCCCCGGGGCTGTCACCGCTCCGGTGACACCGGAGATAACGGGAGCGCGTGAGCGGGCGGGGAAGCCGAGCCAACCCCCCCCCTCCCCACGTGGGATGTGGGGCCCCCCAAAACCTCGCCGGGTTTGTTTTTGTGGGGGCACAGCTCGGGGTGTCCCCCTCCCCCTCCGTGGGAAGGAAACCGCTGGCGGAAGCCGTAGGGGAGGTGCCGGCGATGGCGCAACCGAACCCCCAGATTTGGGGGGAGAACGCGCAGGTTTGGGGCCCGGGGGGGACCGGAGCCTCCCCCTCCCCCCAAAGCCCAGCGCGGTGCTGTGGGAAAAGTGAAGGGAAACGGGAGTTTCTGCCAAAAAACTGCCGTGGCAACGGGGCGGGAGCGTGCGGAGCCATCTGGCCGCGCTGCCGGGATTCGCTCGGGCTCTGAGGCGGCACCGACACCGGAGCCCCCCCCGGGCGGGGCCGCGGCACCAGAACCCCCCGAACCCCCCCGGGGCTCGGTGGCGGCGCTCCGGCGGCATTTCCCGGCTCCTTTTATCGCAGAGTGGCCAAAAATACGGCAAACATGGCAAAGGAGGCACCGCCCGGGCCGGGTCACACCGGGGGAACCTCACCGGCACCGGGGGGGCCTCACCGGCACCGGGCACGGGCCGTGGGACGGCCGCGGTGCTCCCCGCTGGCGGCGGCGCTCGGTAACGCCGCTCAGGCCGCGGAGCCCCTCGTGCCTCAGTTTCCCCAGCCCGCCCGCCACGAGGGGACTCACCCTGGGCACCCCGAAGCGCCGGGAGCGGCGGGAGCGGGGCGGTGCCGGCGGGAGCCCCGCGGGAGCCCGGGAGGGAGCGAGCGAGCGAGCGAGCGGGGACCGGCTCGACCGGTTGGGGCTGAGGCCGCAGCGGGACAGCGCGGGGTGGGGCCGGGGAACACCTGGAGCAACGGGGCGGGGAAAACGGGGCGGGAAAGGGGAAAACCGGCAGCGGGGGGGGGGGGGCCTCCCGCAGGGCGGGGGG